AGAAAAGTCCATGTTGAAAAAAGTAAAAGCGCAATGTCAGATGTGTTCAAATTTGTAGTACATTATTAACTTAATCCTTAGAATTTAGTCAATTCCACCAACTTAATATCAAATAACATATTGCCCTTATGCCAAAATATGCCTTTTCCCTGTGGTTGCCCCACACTTGCTCACTGTGACATCACCTAGGCAGCAGCCCGCATCCATACGCTAAAAACTCGTCTGATTGCTGGCCCACTCAAGTAATAGAGCTGTATTAACAAATTTTACGGCTAATATTTAGTCGCTAACGGCAGCTAATTAATCAGTCTGCCCAACAAAATGTATGCCAACACACAGTGTGCAGATTGATATTTATAGATTTATATATAAATCTATAAAAAAATGTTTAGATGTAATTTCATGTGTACAGAACTTTGTTTTGAATTTCAGTTTAGTGAAGTACTAAGTTTAGTGTTAAATCAATATATTTGTCAGAACATATACACACACAAAAAAATGAATCATGGATCTATAATTTCAATAAAAGTTCCTGCAAACCATTATGTTAAAAGTCAACAACAATAGAACCGCTCATATATAAGCGCCCACAATGGCCACAGTCCACCTGGAAAGGTCAGCCTCACCTGTGAAGGACCACACGGTTCAGAGGTCTGCCCTCTCCTCGCTAATCGCAACCGGTTATCAAACAAGGGCAGAGTGCACACGGAGCCGTACGGCATCTGCCCTTTAATTTTAACCTCACAGTGAACAATAGCTATTAGCGTTAACTTTTAAAAAAGTTAGCTTGTAGATACACTCAGGTTTCACAGAGCTAATGTCAAATATGAAACGTGAAAGCTACAGCCATCGCAAAACTTAATTTGGTTAGGTGCCCACTGCCCAGTCTCATGCACAGCTGCGCACTGTGTTGGAGCCTGAACTTGACTGATGCATTAGCTACCGCTAGCTACAAAAAATAGTTCATATTTGGCAATACACAGCTTTATACATTTCACCTCAATTGGTTCACGACCTGGTGCTGTGTCACGTGTATATGTCACGTGTATATGTCACGTGTATGTGTCACGTGTATATGTTACATGTATATGTCACATGTATGTGTCACGTGCACAGGCTGGTGCTATGAGACTTGGGTGGCATCTCTGACTGTCACCCGCCTGACCCAGAAATGGATTAAAGGGTAGAAAATGGATGGGTGGATGGATGGTTCACGACCCACAGGGCTGCGTCCGTTGGAGTCGAGTTAGCGAGCAGACGAGTTTTTAGCGGGCTGCTGCCCAGGCGGAGTGAGTCAGCAAGTGTGGGAAAAAAAATGGCCAGAAGCTCCTGCAGTCGCAGACACAGAGAACTAACTTAGCATATTTAGGCGTAAAAGCACCGGTGAACCTAAGCAATACTCAGCCCCTCTATAGTAGTCAAATTAGAGAAAAAGTAATCTCACAGGAAAAAATGCATTTTAAAGCTAAAATTACATTAGTATATCGTCTGGAGAAAGCGCCAGCATTGTTAACATGGCGACAAATGCAAAGCAAAGACAAATCGAACGCGGTCACTAGACATTCATTTATTAATATATTTCCACAGCACAAAGTAACAATAAACGGTAAGTCGTCTAGAAATAAAAGTTAAATGATATAACAAACTTACGTTGTCGAGTCGTTCAGCACAGTGACGATAATGTTGTCTCTTCAACTGCAGAGCGAAGTGAAGGGGGAGGGAGTGAAAAGAAGTAAGTGGCGGGAAATCACGGTGCATGCTGGGAGTCGGAGTTTTTCGACTCAATGCATTGCAGTTTTGTAAGGCAGAATTCTTGAGTTAATGTATAACTTTTTCTACTGTAGACGCGAAATGCAAAGTCTATTTTAACTGCAACATTGATGATGTAGAATTTTGATATATTAAAAGTAGAAACTTATCAAAATTCATCAAATGAACAATGGAGCGATCCAGAGGGCGCGGAGATAATACGTCACACACTTGCCGCACATTTTAACACGTCACACCCTACGCAGGAGAAGAACTTAATTTTGAACTTTGGGTCAAAGTAATAAATCCCTTTTTTGTTAAGTCATGCCTGTTTTAGTTGTTTGAAACCAAATATTTCCTTTGAAGTCAAAACATGATAAATGTACTTTTGTTTTACGTACATTTTTACCTTGCTTCAACTAGGGTCTAAATACACTTCTTACAGTGTAGAAAAAATAATAGCCTTAGTATGGCCTGCTTGGTTTGGGCCCTTTTTCGTGCTATAGATTTGTGTATAACCCTGAACACTGTACTGGAGTAACATTCGTCTTTTTGGTCTTTGTCAATTGAATAAGCATCTTCGGTCTCCCTCTGGCACAACTCTAGCCTGGCCTTAGCCATCCGTACACTCTGGTCAATCATCATTTTTGTGCATGTAACGTCTGGGCTGGCCCGGACTGGCCATCGGGAGCATCGGGAGATCTCCCGGTGGCCTGCGTGTCAAAGTGGCCTGGGCCTGCCCTATCATCACGGTCTTTATTTATTTATTTTATTTTTATTTTTTTTATTTAATTTCATCCTCACGGTCTTTGCAAACTCCTACCCTGCCTGGTGGCCTGGTCCAATGAGCAAGGCCCAGGCCAAAGCCAGTGTTGTGCGTGAACGAGTTCAAAAGAACGCGTTCATTGAACACGCTCATTTTTTCGTGAACGTTGAACTGAACGCAACACATTTTTTAATAAAGAACTTGAACGTGAATTAGTTCATATTATGTGTCATGAACGGCAGACATCACTATGAACGTTGGAATCTGTTTTCTCTTTTGAAACGCAACGAGAGAAAGTTCCTCCCTCCTGTATTCTCCGCACTGTTTCCGCCGAAAACTAAAAATTCCTACGGTTTCCACCGTCTGTGAACGCACCCCGACTCAGTGTACTTGCGGTGCGGCGCTATATGCTAGTGCTATTCATTGGTTGTTGGACTCACATGTGCCGTGATGAAAACACAGGGGTAAGTCAGTGACACAGGGCCGTTTACATTTGACATAAAGTATAGACACACGTTCTGCAGCGCATTACAGTTTGTACTTATGAGCAGAGATGGGACAACTCAGTTCCCATTGAAACCCATGTAAATCTTGTCTGCATTGGAGTCAAAACATCCTGTGCAGTGTACAGGATATAATATATAATTATATATATAATATATTATATATATAATTTATATATATACCACGTATTGTGATGTCTAGCTCGTAGTGAAAAAAAATATTTATTTGAATATCTCGCAAAAAGTAAAATTAACTGAACTTTGAACTAGTTCAGAATTAAAATTGAGAACTTCGAACGTGAACTGTTCACTTTGAGCATGTATGAACTGAACTTGAACTTGTTCAAAAAAGCTGTGAACTGGCACAACACTGGCCAAAGCTTTACTGTCATTGGGCCAGAGCAAAATTAAACAAATGTGACGTCACACGTCGGCTACACAGCCAGGCCAGCCTAGCAGTGCACCCAGTGTAGCTTCCCCAGCCTAGCAGTGCACCCAGTGTAGCTTCCCCAGCCTAGCAGTGCACCCAGTGTAGCTTCCCCAGTGTAGCTTCCCCAGCCTAGCAGTGCACCCAGTGTAGCTTCCCCAGCCTAGCAGTGCACCCAGTGTAGCTTCCCCAGCCTAGCAGTGCACCCAGTGTAGCTTCCCCAGCCTAGCAGTGCACCCAGTGTAGCTTCCCCAGCCTAGCAGTGCACCCAGTGTAGCTTCCCCAGCCTAGCAGTGCACCCAGTGTAGCTTCCCCAGCCTAGCAGTGCACCCAGTGTAGCGGTTGAAATGAGTGGTCTCTCCAACTGATGGTTCATACACGTTTTTATTTTTCCTTTTATATGAGCTGTAACGATGTGATTTTACCTTACTACTTTATTAACAATAATTGATTAGCTTGTTATAGTTATACACTAATGAACACTTAGTTCATTGTGTGTGTGTGTGTGTGTGTGTCTTTATTCTCACTAAACTCCATAAACGTTAAGTTGCTAAGCAACGTACAACAATCCTTAAACGTCCGAGATTATATAAACAGTCAATATAAAAAAAAAATAAAGAAAACAAAAGTTTTGACAGTCAATCTTAAAACTATTAAAAGAACATCAAAATACAATGACAAAAACCCAAATTTAGAACCTTGTTTGGCCTGAATGGATGAAAAGCTCCCGGCCTGAAATGTTGTCCCACTCCGGCCCTGCGTCTGGGTCTGGTCCCTGTGTTAGCAAATACAATCGCTTGAATTTCGACCGACCAATCAGAGCGCGCAGAAGGCGGGTGTTGTAGGTCGGTGCCGGTGACGTCAAGAGTTTGCGTCGAACGGGCAGGTTGTAGTTTGGCAATGGCGAAGAATGTGATAGTAAAGTAATCCGGTCTGATTCTATGGAGAAATTGAAGCCGGAGCAAGAGGAATGTTTAGCAAATGTAATTGCGGGCAAAGATTGTGGCGCTACTCCCCACGGGCTCTGTTAGCGACAAAGGAAATGGCTAAAGCTAGGCTAAATGCTAACGACTCACTTGGGCGCACTACATATGTCACGGTAAACTCAGATCCAATTATTTAAATCTGCAAAAGGAGTTAACGGAGCTCAATGGAGCACCTCCACACCTTAGTACAAAATGTAATTTGTACTATGGTGTGGTACGACCAGGCTAGCACAACTCAGGTCTGATTATAATAATTTTGTGAGAAAAGGGAGAAACAACTTAATTCAAGCCTTTCTAGATAATCTACATGTTTGCAGTGATTTTATTGTTCAATAGGATATAACTAAATCTTTTCTGAAATTGTGATAGATGTAATGGCTTCAAATTTCACTTTTTCAAAGTAAACTTTTTTAAACATATAGGATATTGAAAACCACAATCATAATGTTGCACAGAGATAGTACAATCAGACATATTTCCAAAATGGTCCAGGCATAATGAGGAGCTCATCATGTACTGTGGCTACACAGACAGTACATGTGGGCCCTGGTGTCTCTGGGGGCCTGTACCTGCTCAGCCATATAGAAGGTCTTGCTGTTGGTCTTCTGGTGCAGCCACATGCAACGATACGTCTCTCCGATGATGGGGTTGTATGGCTTCTTCAACCCCTGACAGAGGACCACAAATGGCACAATTATTCAGAGAGCTGTTCTACAAGACAGCCTTTCTACCCCTCACTTTCCACAGCTGACCTTGGGTTTCTTGTAGAATCCTGAGATGTACCACTTCACCACTTTCTTCATACGATCGTAGGCGTTTTCTTCCACTGCAGCTCTGGAATGAAAAATAAATAAGACATTTATCAGATTAGTTTGTGTAAGGAACAGCTTTATTATTTTGAAGTTTGTCACGGCAACTTCAGGTGGCTTCCAGATTGTGTTTACTCTGACAAGGTGTTTGGGCATGGGATGGTAACATCTGATCTGTTTGAATGGTTAGTGCCTAACTGAAACAAAAACATATATACAGTTGGACAGTTGAACAAATATACAGTTGGACAGCCGGAGAGGGTGTGCTTGATCGCGGGGTGCTTGCTGCTGTTTGCTGTACGTACTCGAACGAGATTCCAAATCCTCCGTGGCAGGAGCAGCGTTCTGACTCCAGAGCCACTCCGGCCACTTTGTTATGACAGCGGCTCCTTGACAACAACGCGGCGAGCACGTAGCCGAACGTGGTCATAATGTACCCAGCGCGGACCATTCTCAGCTTGTTGCAAGTGTGTGTCTGTGCGTAACGCAAAATAAATAAATACATATTGCGTTACTGCAAGAAACAGAGCTGGACTATTGAGCCTTAAGGGCGTGTCCATGTCCTCCCTGCGTCTCTAAATTAAAGCTGTGGTACCTACATTTTCCCTTGCATTAATAATGCATAATGAAAACTGTGAAAACTGCACTTCAGCAACATCTCAGGTAGAAAAAACAGGAAAAATACAAATTGTAAAGCAAAACACAAAACCACTATTTCAGAGCTACTTAGAACCTACTGCCGTTTTCCAGCGCATTCAAAAGAAAGAAAAATAAAAAATGAATGGAACTGAATTAAAATAACAGAAGATCTTTGTAGATCACTGTGACCAAACAAACAAACTAGCAGTGTTGACTTGATTTAATCACCTCTGATATTAATTATGAAAAAGCTCAAATGGGCTGGGACGATGGGATCCCTGAATCCGGCCTCTTTCATCTGCACCTCTGGACTGTCTTCTTTGGCCCGGACTCGTGTACACCACCCTACCCGCCTGGGAGCCACCTCAGTCCTGCATGGCATGGCCTCTGTCCTTGGTCTAAAGTCTGAGTCCTGGATGTAAAGCCTGTTGGTCCGTGGGAGCGGAACTCTCCCTCAATGTGGGCCTCCCCAAAGTTTCTCACTTTTTTTCAACTGAGTTTTGTTGAGGTCACGTTGGTTGGAACAAAGGCACTAAATGCATTTTGTATTATATTAATCTTGAATAATGGGAGGACCTAAACTGTCACTGTCATAATAAATGAATAAACAAAAAAAATAAATAAAGTAAGAAACCACTTTAGAATTATGAAATTGAATTAATATATTTGTAGTTCAAAACAAAATAATAAAGCTTTATTTGTATGCATTTATTAATTTCCTTTTTAATTCAATGGTTAAGATTTAAAAGATATGTATTATTATTATTATTATTATTTAACTACATTTTTTTTCCCAAAGAAGAAATAAATCATCATTATTTTCATTCTGCATTCATTTCTTTCCTTTACATCTTGATTTATTTCCTTTTTTTTTAACGCTCTTTACGTTTTTTCTAATAAAACAAGCATGTACAATATTACGTACAATATTAAATACATTTAAGGCAGGGGTGCTCACACTTTTTCAGCATGCGAGCTACTTATAAAAGGATCAAGTCAAAATGATCTACCTACTACAAAAATGCAAATCATATATTTATTTCAAAAAATATTCTTTATACCTACAATGTATGTTTATGTACATGCAAAACCGCATGAGCCAATATAGCACAACACAACACAATTACCTATGTACATTTTTTGTCATTACCCGAGTTTACTCTGATGACTTGCACTGAATTGAATCGGCCAGGGATGCATAGTCCGGAAAATTGGTGGTAACTCGCTGACAAGTTTGTCGTGGTTTAGCTTTCCTGCACTGAGCGCGGTTGTTTGCGCATGTGCAGTCAACTAGTGTCAGTAAAACATTACTGAGTAAAACACAGATGTCATTTGACTGTGGTGCCATGTCCATGTGCCATGCCTGGTTTTTTTTAAATCCAAATATTTCCCCTCCTCCGTTTATAAAATAATTTGCATCCACACATCTGCGTTATCAATCACATTCGTAACATTCCAAACATGTGCGTCTCTTACGTCCTGTCCTGCGTTGGGGAAAAACACAGAAGTGGGCGGAGCTTTGATGCAGATGCCGGTAACGGCACTTTTACAGTCATAGAAGACACTCAGAGTAAGACGTATGTTTACAAGCACTGACCCCGTCCTCAGCCCTGATTTAGTCCTGGTTTAGTCCTGGTTTAGTCCTGGTTTAGTCCTGGTTTGGTTGTTTTCGAGCGTGAGTCCCCGCGATCACTTTGCTGCTCTCTGATGTGGAGGATGTTCGCTGCTGCGAGCATCTCACAGCGAACAGTTTTTAAGGTAGTATGATCCATGCTTCAGTGATCAGAGGAATTTAGGGGGGTACTGTGTCGTGCGAGAACGCAAAACTCCGATTATCTCTGACTACACACAAATGCATTAACGGAGTTTTCAAAAATCTCCACTTTGCCCGGAGTTTTTTGTATATATTTGTTTAGAATGTGTAATTTTTTCATTTATTTAATGCGATCTACCAATACTACCTTTGCGATCGACTGGTAGATCGCGATCGACGTATTGAGCACCCCTGATTTAAGGCATTTATTTTTTTATTGATTTTCTGTTTAAATATTTCAGCCTGTACAATTCTTTTGTGGATTTCTTGCGAATGAAGGGGCTGAGCTACAGAGTTACACCAAAGCAGTCGTATCAACATAGACCTGTGAACTGCTCTGATTCCAGTATCAGATACTATTTACTGGATGAAAGTACAGGGATAAAAATCAAATGCAATCTGTATTAGTGTAACTGGGATTTGAGGGGACAAAATACTATTTTGGTTCCCTTCACTAGTATCGGCCGCCAGATTTAAGAATTGGTAATGATGACTTGCTAGAGGAAAGCACACATTGCGTCCTCACATGTGTTCCCACATCTCTACAGGCAGTGAACATGCTAAGACACAACCTCTGGCACAAAGTCAAAAACAAAAACAACGTTATGATTTTAAGCAGGAAGTAAAGGCTGACGTTGCACTGACCTCGTCTGGTGGCAGTGTGTCTTATGGAACCTGGGCTTATAGAAGATGACTATATATGGACATAAATACATGTCTAGTTAAAAATCCAAAGTGGCTCACTCAGAGAGGAAGTCTGCATGGTAGTAGTAGTCGGAAAGTTTGTCGAGGAAGGATCGTGGCTCCAGGATGAACGTGGGAAGCACCACTTTGGACAGATCCATCCCAGGACGCACCTGCTTCAACAGTGTCCAGATCAGGGACTTATTCTCCTCTGAGACCGTTTCTGTCTGCGAGGCTTCTCCGGCCTGAAACACAGTAGCACATTCAAAAACATCTGGTACCACACAAACATGTATGACAAAGACTATGAGGTATCTGGTACTACCCAAACATACAGGGGTAAAGCACCCCTGGTACGTGCTGCTGGTGGGAAGTACAGTCCTGTGGGCGTCCAGGTTCACTTTGAATATGTCACATGTTGTATGTAACATGTTCTAATACTCTGTAACATGGTTGGGGAAAAAGCACCAAGAGGGAGTCAGAAAAGGAAGAGGAGGGGGAGAAAGCAGAGGGAGGAGGAGACATGAGAGAGAGGAAGATACAGTGGGGCAAAAAAGTATTTAGTCAGGTACCAATTGTGAAAGTTCTCCCACTTAAAAATATGAGGGAGGCCTGTAATTTTCATCCTAGGTATACCACAAATATGAGAGACAGAATGAGAAAAAAAAAAAATCCAGATAATCACATTGTCTGATTTTTTTATTAAGACCTTATTTCCAAATTAGGGTGGAAAATAAGTATTTGGTCACCTTCAAGATTTCTGGCTCTCACAGACCTGTAACTCCTGCAGAGAGCTGGGACAGAATTAACAAAGGCTACCGTGGGCAGCGCTCTCGCTTCTCAGCAGGTCCTGGGTTCGAATCCGGTCGGAACAGGGCCTTTCTGAGTGGAGTTTGCATGTTCTACCCATGTCTGGTTTCGCCTACCACTAAAAATATGCACAATCGGTATGAATGTAAGTGAGAGAGTGAATGGATGGTGTTTGAGCTGATGGTCCAGTGTGTTCGGCGACTCGCTTCTGTCATCACCGTGTGTGGAAGGATTGGAATAATATCTGACTCTGAACATTGTGAAGAGCTTTGGGTGACCTTGGTCTGTAAAATGCGCTATATCAATAAACATCACTTGCTTCACCAGCAGTAACACACTACACTGCCAGGAACTCAAATCCTGCAGTATCAGACGTGTCCCCCTGCTTAAGCAGTGCATGTCCAGGCCCGTCTGAAGTTTGCCAGAGAGCATATATATGATCCAGAAGAGGATTGGGGGAATGTCATATGGTCAGATGAAACTTTTTGGTACAAACTCAACTCGTGTTTAGAGGAGAAAGATACCTACTGTGAAGCATGGGGGTGGAAACATCATGCTTTGGGGCTGTTTTTTGGCAACGGGACCAGGACTACTGATCCGTGTAAAGGTAAGAATGAATGTATCGTGAGATTTTGAATGAAAACCTCCTTCCATCAGCAAGGGCATTAAAGATAAAATGTGTCTGGGTCGTTCACTAATACAATTGTTAGGGATCTGTTTGTTCTGCTCCCCCTCCCTTCGTTTCTCTTTGCAGGGTGTGTGTGACAGGGGGCGTGGCTAGCTCATCTTCCAGTGGAAGGAGGCATATCTGCATCCACTAATCATCTGCAGTGGTCAAAAGCCTGGTTTTCACTGTACTTCGCTGCCAGATTGTTCTTTGTCTCACGTCAGTGGTTTTTGTCCAGCTCATGCTTTTTGTCCTTTTGACTCACAACTTTTTATCCTGTGTTCAGGTCCGCCTCCTTGACCAGCCAGCCTGCCTCCTGTCTTCACTGCCCAGCCTTTTGTGCAATAAACCATTTTTTTATTGAACCACTCTCAATTTCACAGTCTACTTCGGGGTCCAATATACAAACTTTAACAAAAATGATCCCAAACACATCGCGCAGGAAACGAAGGAGTGGCTTTGTTAGAAGCATTTCAAGGTCCGGGAGTGGCTTACAGCCAGTCTCCAGATCTCTACCCAATGGAAGATCTTTGGAGGAGTTGAAAATCCGTGTTACCCAGCGACAGCCCCAAAACATCACTGCTCTAGAGGAGATTTGCATGGAGACATGGGCTATGATGATAATTAAAGCCTTTTAAGTGGAAGAGCAATTGGTGGCTGAATAAATACTTTTTTCCCCCAACTGTATATGCGAGAGGGCTTAACGAGTAGGGGTCTGAAATCTAAGCAACCAAAGCTTGATACGACGTAGACACATATAACCTGCAAGTGAAAAAATAAGCGGAAAATAACTTTGAACCTTAAATACTAAGTAGGAATGCACCAAGAAGGTGCTAGTGGCTCAGTTGGTAGCCTTTGAGCCAGAAGGTTGTGGGTTCAAGCCCACCACAAGACCTTCTTCAAAGACTCCCACTGATGTCGTTGTGTCCTTGGACAAGACACTTAACCTCACTTTGCCTGAAGCCCCCGCTGAAAGATCAAGGCAGCCATCCTTCTGTGGACTCAGCACCTGCAGGAGGATCAGTGAGGGGCTGGTGCTCGGTGGACTGGTGCAGCTCTGACTAACTTACTTAGAATGCCCCAATGGAACCGATAACGCTGAACGAGGCAGCGACTGACCTGAAAGCTAAGATCATGGCTAGAATGGGCACAGGGCAAAGATACCGGTTACAGCGGTTGTGTGAAGTACCACCTAAGGATCTCATAGAAAGCGTGAATGCAGCAGTGAGGGCAATACCTACCACCACAATCACTGAAACCAATGAGCTGATATACACTTCAGCAGCAGTGATCCTAGAGATGCTTGGCTATAAGAGCCATGGACAATACCCACCATGGAAAAGACGGTTGAAGGCTAAGATCAAGGCGGCTCGCCTTGAGGCGAGAAGTGAGTCAATTAACAGAGGCCCAGAGAGGTGCAATGAAAAGACCAGTACCCAGAAAGTACAGCCAGATGACCATACCTGAAGCACTCGAAACTGCCAAACAAAGGCTCCAAGCCCTGGCCAGCCGCCTACAGAGGTACACTAAAGAGAATGAAGCCAGAAGGGTGAACAGGCTGTTCGCAACACAACCTGCGTACGCTGTGTACGCGTGTACACAGCGTACGCTCAGTGGCAGGGTAACAACAGGGGAGCAGACCCACCTAGGCTGGAAACTGAACAGTTCTGGAAGAACATATGGGAGAAGGATGCAGCACATAACAGAAGTGCACAATGGCTGGTCTCCCTGAGAGAGGAGCACAGCCACCTCCCAGAACAGAACTCAGTTACCATCACAGAGGCAGACATCCGAGAAAGAGTCTCAGGTATGAAAAACTGGACAGCACCTGGCCCTGATATGGTCCATGCCTACTGGCTAAGGACACTCACATCACTCCATGAGCGCCTAGCAGCACAAATGAACCAGTTGCTGAGAGATGGGACTCACCCAGAATGGCTAACCGAAGGGCGAACGGTCCTGATCATGAAGGACCCTGTCAAGGGTGCAGTCCCCTCCAACTACCGGCCAATAACCTGTCTCTCCACAACATGGAAGCTCATGTCAGGCATCATTGCGGCTAAGATAAGTGGGCATATGGTTGTTCCATATGAGCACAGCACAGAAGGGCATTGGTAGGGACACCAGAGGAGCCAAACACCAGCTCCTGGTTGACAGAACAGTCGCCCAAGACTGCCGGTCACGACACACCAACCTGTGCACAGCCTGGATTGATTACCAGAAAGCCTACGACTGAATGCCACACACATGGATCATGGAATGCTTGAAGTTGTACAATATCAACAGGGCTCTAAGGGACTTCGTTGCAAACTCGATGGGAATGTGGAAGACCACCCTTGAGGCAAATGGCAAGCCGCTCGCACAAGTGACCATCAAATGTGGTATCTACCAAGGAGATGCTCTGTCCCCACTACTGTTCTGCATAGGCCTCAACCCTCTAAGCCAAGTAATTGACCAGACTGGCTATGGATACCGCCTCAGGAACGGAGCAAAAATCAGTCACCTCCTCTACATGGATGACATCAAGCTGTACGCCAAGAGCGAGAGAGACATCGACTCTCTGATCCAAACAACCAGGATCTACAGCATGACATCGGGATGTCATTCGGGCTCGAGAAATGTAGCAGGATGGTGACTCGGAGAGGCAAGGTAGTCCACACAGAAGGGATCTCACTCCCAGAGGGAACAATAGCATACGTTGAGGACAGTTACAAGTATCTCGGTATACTCGGTATGGGCGGCACGGTGGCTGAGTGGATAGCACTCTCGCCTCTCAGCAAGAAGGTCCTGGGTTCGAATCCCGGTCGGACCAGGGCCTTTCTGAGTGGAGTTTGCCTGTTCTCCCCGTGTCTGCGTAGGTTTCCTCCGGGTACTCCGGTTTCCCCTACCACTAAAAATATGTCCAATAGTTCTGGCATGTGCCTCCTGTACTGGCGACCCCGCTCCCATCTCTGTGTGGAGTGAGAGACAAATGCCCATAATTAACAATTGTAAACCGCTTTGAGACTCAGATCTGCAGTGAAAAGGCGGTATATAAATAAAAACTTACTTACTTACTTACTTACTATACCACAGGCAAATAGCAACCTCGAACAGGTGACGAGGAAAGCGGCAACTGCCAAATACCTCCAGCGAGTAAGGCAGGTCCTAAGAAGCCGGCTCAATGGCAAGAACAAGGCCCGGGCAATTAACAGCTACGCCCTGCCAGTGATCAGATACCCTGCAGGAATAATCAGGTGGACAAAGGAAGAGATTCAGACCACGGATGTTAAAACTCGAAAGCTCCTTACCATGCATGGCGGGTTCCATCCCAAATCCAGCACCCTGAGACTGTACGTAAGCCGTAAAGAAGGAGGCCGAGGACTAGTGAGTGTGAGAGCCACTGTCCAGGACGAAACATCCAAACTCCATAACTACATCATGGAGAAGGCCAAAACGGATGACGTACTCAGTGAATGTCTCAGGCAGTGGCGAGATGAGGAGGTGCTGGAGGAGAGCCCATCATGGGAGAACAAGCCCCTACACGGCATGTACCACCGGAGCATAACAGAAGTGGCTGATCTCAAGAAGTCCTACCAACGGCTAGAAAGGGCTGGCCTACAGGACAGCACAGAGGCACTCATCATGGCTGCACAGGAGCAGGCCCTGAGCACCAGAGCGATAGAGGCCCAGATATACCACACCAGACAAGACCCAAGGTGTCGGTTGTGCAAAGAGGCACCTGAGACGATCCAACACATAACTGCAGGGTGCAAGATGCTGGCAGGGAAGGCCTACATGGAACGCCATAACCAAGTGGCTGGCATAGTGTACAGAAACATCTGTGCAGAGTATGGGCTGGAAACCCCAAGGTCTAAGTGGGAAACTCCTCCAAAGGTGGTGGAGAATGAGCGTGCAAAGATCCTGTGGGACTTCCAGATACAGACCGACCGAATGGTAATGGCGAACCAACCTGACATTGTGGTGGTAGACAAAGGGCAGAGGACAGCCGTGGTGGTGGACAAAGGGCAGAGGACAGCCGTGGTGGTGGACGTGGCAATTCCAAGCGATGGTAACATCCGGAAAAAAGAACATGAAAAGCTTGAGAAAGAGAGGAGCTGGAGAGGGCCTGGAGGGTAAAGGTGACAGTAGTGCCCGTGGTGATCGGTGCACTCGGGGCAGTGACCCCGAAGCTAGATGAGTGGTTACAGCGGATCCCTGGAACAACCTCGGACATCTCGGTCCAGAAATGTGCAGTGCTAGGAACAGCAAAGATACTGTGCAGAACCCTCAAGCTCCCAGGCCTCTAGTAGAGGACCCGAGCTTAGAGAGGGATAACCGCCCACGGAGGGCCAAAGGTGAGTGGACAATTTTTTATTATTATATATACATATATACATATATACATGGCAACTGCCAAATACCTCCAGCGAGTAAGGCAGGTCCTAAGAAGCCGGCTCAATGGCAAGAACAAGGCCCGCGCAATTAACAGCTACGCCCTGCCAGTGATCAGACCCTGCAGGAATAATCAGGTGGCCAAAGGAATAGATTCAGACCACGGATGTTAAAACTCGAAAGCTCCTTACCATGCATGGCGGGTTCCATCCCAAATCCAGCACCCTGAGACTGTACGTAAGCCGTAAAGAAGGAGGCCGAGGACTAGTGAGTGTGAGAGCCACTGTCCAGGACCAAACATCCAAACTCCATAACTACATCATGGAGAAGGCCAAAACGGATGACGTACTCAGTGAATGTCTCAGGCAGTGGCGAGATGAGGAGGTGCTGGAGGAGAGCCCATCATGGGAGAACAAGCCCCTACATGAGGAGGTGCTGGAGGAGAGCCCATCATGGGAGAACAAGCCCCTACACGGCATGTACCACCGGAGCATAACAGAAGTGGCTGATCTCAAGAAGTCCTACCAATGGCTAGAAAGGGCTGGCCTACAGGACAGCACAGAGGCACTCATCATGGCTGCACAGGAGCAGGCCCTGAGCACCAGAGCGATAGAGGCCCAGATATACCACACCAGACAAGACCCAAGGAGGTGGTGGAGAATGAGCGTGCAAAGATCCTGTGGGACTTCCAGATACAGACCGACCGAATGGTAATGAACCAGCCTGACATCGTGGTGGTGGACAAAGGGCAGAGGACAGCCATGGTGGTGGACAAAGGGCAGAGGACAGCCGTGGTGGTGGACAAAGGGCAGAGGACAGCCGTGGTGGTGGACAAAGGGCAGAGGACAGCCGTGGTGGTGGACAAAGGGCAGAGGACAGCCGTGGTGGTGGACAAAGGGCAGAGGACAGCCGTGGTGGTGGACGTGGCAATTCCAAGCGATGGTAACATCCGGAAAAAGGAACATGAAAAGCTTGAGAAATACCAAGGTCTCAGAGAGGAGCTGGAGAGGGCCTGGAGGGTAAAGGTCACAGTAGTGCCCGTGGTGATCGGTGCACTCGGGGCAGTGACCCCGAAGCTAGAAGAGGTTACAGCGGATCCCTGGAACAACCTCGGACATCTGGGTCCAGAAATGTGCAGTGCTAGGAACAGCAAAGATACTGCGCAGAAACCTCAAGCTCCCAGGCCTCTGGTAGAGGACCCGAGCTTAGAGAGGGATAACCGCCCGCGGAGGGCCAAAGGTGAGTGGACAATTTTTTTTTATATATACATACATGTGCTACATACCTATTTATAGTGCAACTGATTCAATAGAATAAGTAGAAAAAATATCTGTCCCTACCTTTTGCCAAGGCTCATCAGTAATGTCTGTTATTATCATACTGTAGGTTCTTTCGGTTTTTTAGCCTGATGCTTAATATAAGTGTCACAAGTTAACTCTCTTCTCTGCGTTTGCATTTCTCTATGCCTAGATGTCCTTCATGCAGTCTTTTGAACATTTCCAGTCTCAGTGAATCTTCGTAATAAAAGTTGATTACACTTAACTCTGCTCTTATGTAACATGGTTGGCATTCACCTCTTGGCCATTTCCCATTTAACAGTGTTATTATTTCTTACAGATTAGTGTCTTTCTGTGTCTCAGTTGCGATCAGTTTGGATTTTGTGTCTGACACATGGAGTGATTCAGCTACTAGATAAACATGTAGATTGACATCAGTTTCTGTTGTACTTGGGTTTTTAGCTTTTTAGAATGATCAATTTATTTGTGTGAATGGATGTGTTTTTGCTGCTACTGGACACCTGATTTTTTCCTACGGGGACCATTAAAGCATCTATCTATCTGTCATCAAATGAATATAGTGAAATCTTTCTTATTTGCAAGACCCGTTCGACAGGCAGTGTGGAGGGAGTGAAAACTAAGTGTGTCTTTCTTATTCCCAGGTTTTTGTACTGTATTTAAACCCTGTGTAGTCCTTCACTCCCGATTTCACCCTACACTCCCTGTTCCATCATGTTCATTTCCACATCTCTTGGTTTTTGTCTTCACCCCCAGCATTTGATGGTAAGAAAAAAACCAATACAGAGAGCAACACAGCATTGCAGCAACCAAAGTTGGCAGCAACATTTCAGCAAGGAGAGGGCGTGTACAGCTAAGGCAGTTGACAACAAGTCTAGGAAAGGGGCACACATGCAGCCATCACCAGACAGAGACCAAAAGCACTACCCTGAGTATTGGAACAGTGGAACCTTATTACTACAACAAAGCTTTGGGGAATTTTTGGCTCCTGGTGACATGCAGAGAAGATCTCTCAAAGCGTCAAAACTTAAGAATCGTGGGGGTAAAGAAGTAGTGTTGTGCCAACAACAATGGAGACTTACAACAAATTCCAGCAACACTGGAGGTTCTAGCCAAAATCTGTGCCATGCATTCTGAACTTTTCACAAGAAAAACTTAGCAAAAATAGACACTCGCGTATATGAAGCAACCACAACTATATAAGTTACGGTGGCCTTCGAGGGACAACTCTACTCCCTCTCCTAAGTTAGCAGTAGGGATACTCCATGTCCCTCACCTCTCCCAGTTCCTCGTGGGACTCCTCTATGTATGGTGTCTCGCGCAGATGTTCGTTGGGGTCCATGTCGATGTAAGAATCGTCCTGGCGCTCGGAGGTGTCGCTGTCGCTCTCCTCGCTCTTCTCCAGCCCCTCAGGGTCAGACTCCTCATGCTCCAGCTCGCGGTCAGACTTATCTGAGTACAAGTCCGGGTCCTTCAGGTGGTCGCTGTCGTTAAACCTGCAGCACAAGTGGGGTAAATATTGTGATCAAGATACAAGAACCAGAAGATGAGCCACCAGACCAGGTAAGCGAGACTATTACTGCACTATTACTGCTAGTTATTCTATATTATGACGCTCGTACTGCACTATAACTAGTCTATTACTGCACTAGTACTACATTAGCACTGCACACCCCCCAGGGAGCCATCCAGAAGGCATCCCAAACAGATGCCCGAGCCACCTTAACTTGCTCCTCTCAACATGGAGAAGCAGCAGCTTTACTCTGAGCTCCTCATGTATCATTCAGATCCTCACCTCATGTCTAAGGCCTAGCCACTCTGCGGAGGAAACTATGTATGAATACAAGCCATCTATTTGACAGCTTGTATCCTCAATCTTGTCCTTTTCGGTCAGTACTCAAATACATGATTATAGGAGAGGATGAGAACATAAAATGACTGGCAGAGTTGTAGGCTCGAGTCACATGACTTGGACTCGAGTCATACTCAAGACATAAATTTGATGACTTTAGACTCGACTTGACAAAATATTAAAAGACTTGCAACTCGACTTGGACTTCTGTGACTCGTGATTTCACTTGGACTTGACCATTTTGACTTGAAAAGACTTTAGCTACTGAAAAGCTACTTTCCTCGACCCCAAAGATTAAAAAGTATGTTCACACGACACTGATCGCTCTTTCTCCCTTTGCACCTGTGTGCACCTGTATGCACCTGTGTGCACCAGTGTGCGTGATTGGCACGAGTGTGGCACGACATCCAATCAAATTAGATCCACGTTGTTTTGGCCTGACAGCCTCCAACCAATCAAACTATGAGACAAACAATAAAGAGGAACAAACTAAACACGCACAACAGTAGACAAAAATGATACCATAGGTAGTTTCGTTTGGGTACAAAAACTATGTGGTGATTAACAAAGAAAGAATTGCAGTTTGTAAAACATGCGGGAGCAAGATTACAGGCGGAGATGTGAAAACTAAAAACTGAAAAGGACTCGAAACACAAACGATAGGACTTGGGACTCGACTTGAGACTTGACTCAGGACTTTCCTGTCTTGACGCGGGACTTGACTCGGGACTTGAAGGTAAAGACTCGAAACTAACTTGTGACTTGCAAAACAATTACTTGGTCCAACCTCTGAGGACTGGTTTCCGCCTTGTACCACAATCCACTCCTACCCACCATGAATCCCTGGTGGCAAGCCTACATTTAGCCCACATCGTCCTTTTCGGGCTGAGCCCACCAGGGCAAAGTCCTGGTCAACGTCCTGGTCAACGCTCACACAGAAGCCCCAAACCTAAACCAGGCCTCAGGTTTCCGGCTCATACTATAGTTCATGTAAAGCAGTGGCCCCCGACCTCCAGTCCACGGATCGGTACTGGGTCGTGGGACATTCTAACTGGGCTGCCAAGGAAAGACTAAATTATTTCGTAAATTATTACCCGAGCCGAAACAATCCTTTATTAAAAAAAATTACAGGATCCCGTCAGACCTGGTGAGTACTGTGATGGGAGACCATTGGGAACACCAGGTGCCACAGTGGGGCGGCTGGGGCTGTAAAGTGCCAAACTGTCGTAGAATAAGTCTGGTGTGTGTGTGAATGGTTGGTGGTGGTCGGAGGGGCCGATGGCACAGACTGGTTGCCTCGCTTCTGTCAGTGTGCCCCAGGGCAGCTGTGGCTACAGTAGCAGTTTATCACCACTGTGTATGGAGTGAATGAATTTGGGCGACAGTAGCTCAGTTGGTAGAGCATTGGCCTTTGGGCCCAAAGGTCGTAGGTTCGAGCCAACCACGGGACCTTCTCCACCGACTCCCACTGATGCCTGCTGTCGTTGTGTCCTTGGGCAAGACACTTAACCCCCTTAGCCTATAAGGAGCGCGGATATGATGTTCGCTGCATGCCTTGATGTGTATGTACTATATGTGTAGCCATTCTACCTGGAGTCAAGCAAAGTGCATTAAAAATACATGACAATAATAATACTAAAATTAAAAAAATTAAATAAAAGTTAAATTATACAGATGACGAAAAAAGGTCTTACACACACACACACGACCCAATTTCAATTGTAAATGGTGTTGTGATTTTACATGTTTATACAATACAAATTTATCAATAGATGTCTTTTTAAAGGAATTTCAAATTGGTATTTAGTCAAATACATAATTTGTTTTCACTTTGGGTAAGTTGAATCTACCTTCTGTGGCGTGTCGGCTTTCATATTTGTGCTCAACAGAAATAAAACAGAGCTCTTAACTCATAGACTGCCATTGACGTGGAAACCCGTCATTGCGTTTTCCACTATTTTCATGTTCCCAGATGTCTATCCAATATGTATGGGGATTAGCTTTAGAGCATATTCTATCGAGCCAGCAGGTGGCCCCACCGCTCTCTGGATGGTTTGAAAACAGATAGATGTACTTTTTGGTGATTTCAGTAAAACTTCCCTCTACTCGACTGGGGATTACAGGGGAACGAAACAAGCTAGAAACAAAATTCTTTTTGCTGATGAAAGTAGATAGTCCATTCTTTCAGAATCCGGTTTCGCATTCAGATAGTCATAGTACACAATATTCTGTGGGTCTTGAAATATCAGTAAAAAACCATCAGAAACGGCTGGCAATATAGGAGTACCTGTTCTGAAATAGGCTGGCAGGCAATGAGTTTTGAAGCACAGTTAGAATTTTGTTCTCAATAATATTTCTTGTAAAATTAAGTAACCTTGCCTCAAATCTCTCTTTCACCATTAACCAAGACAAACATGAAAGCCTCCACTTTACATTTGTTCTGTATGTACATCGAAGAGCACATTGAGCTGCCTTGTTTTAAACCATTTCTAACTGCCTAATATTTGATAAAGCAGCACACTACCAAATTTTAGAACAATAAACCAACTGCGAAAGGACAAGTGTAGTTATGACATCTGCTGTCATGTTGAGCGGTAAGAGATGGGAGCATCTTCTAACCATTGACAGACTCCGACCCCGTGCTCGGGTGTTTGGACCAGTCTCCTATCAAATTCCACTCCCAGTTTTTTGGTCTCATGAACTTGCTCCACACTTGTATCATTGACAGTCAAATTTAATCCAACGACATACATTTGGTTCTAAACACAATTATTTTTGTTTTGCTAATGTTTAATGCTAGTTTGTTTTTTTACCCACTCATTAACACACAGCCGGTGTGGACTACAACCTGTCCCAGTGGATCCTGGACTACCTCACAGACAGACCCCAGTTTGTGAGAACCAGGGACTACGTGTCTGAGGTCCTGACCTGCAGCGTGGGGGCCCCCCAGGGAACTGTCCTTGTTACCGTTCCTCTTCACCCTCTACACTGCGGACTTCAGACACAACACGGACGGTTGTGTTCTACAGAAGTTCTCTGACGACTCTGCCATCATCTGGTGTCAGCGGAACCACCTCCTCATCAACGCGGGGAAGACCAAGGTGATGAACCACCTCCTCATCAACGTGGGGAAGACCAAGGAGATGAACCACCTCCTCATCAACGCGGGGAAGACTAAGGAGATGGTGGTGGATTTCCGCAGACGTCACTCTGCCGCGCCAGCTCCAGTGAACATCCAGGGAAAGGACATTGAGAGAGTGGACTCTTACAAGTACCTGGGTGTTCATCTGAACCACAAACTGGACTTGACTCATAACACAGACGCCCTTTTCAAGAAGGGCCAGAGCCGGCTCTACCTACTGAGGAGGCTCAGGTCTTTTGGAGTGCAGGGGCCACTCCTGAAGACCTTCTATGACTTTGTGGTGGCATCAGCCTCTTGTACGGTGTGGTCTGCTGGAACAGCAGCATCACAGAGAGGGACAGGAAGAAGCTGGACAAGGTCATCAGGAAGTCCAGCTCAGTCCTGGGCTGTTCCCTGGACACAGTGCAGGAGGTGGGGGACAGGAGGGTCCTGAGCAAACTAACATCTATGCTGGACCATGACTGTCACCCCCTGCAGGACACTCTCTCTGCTCTGGAGAGCAGCTTCAGTGACAGACTAATTCACCCTCGCTGTGTGAAGGAGAGGTTCCGTAGGTCTTTCCTTCCTGCTGCTGTCAGACTGTACAAAGAGGACTGCTGAGCCTGTAAATTTCATTCATCTGTAAATAAGTAAATTCTTAAATCATGTGCAATGTGCAATACTGCAACTTCAGGATGTCACAGAATAATGTCTCTTTACCTCATGTCTCTTTACCTTATGTCTCTTTACTTATCTACTTATTGTCCTGCGGTATTTAACTGTACAGTATATAACTGCACTACTACATGTATATATTTGTTGACTGGTATTGAAGCATTTTCAGCATCTACAGCCAGTTATGTTAGCTAAGAAACATAGCTACTGCTAATTTTGTATATATTGTGTGATCCCTGTGTGCTCTTACTACTGTCCTGTATGTGCCCTGCAACAACAAAATTTCCCCACTGTGGGACGAATAAAGGAATTCTTATCTTATCACACTGAGACATGATGTTGTGTTGTGAAGGAGAAATGCTACTGACTGAAAGCCTTGCATGTTGTGTGCTCGCAGCAGGCTGTAGATGTTGATTGAGTGCTCTCCTCCGGTGGCCATTGTTGGCTCCTCTTTGCCCTCACGGATCATGGTTCTCTTCAGCAGACTGGAGCATTTCAGAGCCAGCTCCAGGGCGTCCATCCAGCAACGACCTGTGTGGGAGAGAACAGACACAGGCTTCAGCCAAAACCATGTTTAGAATGATGATTGTTGTCAAGGAAAATAGTTAACGTTTCTTCTACATGGTGGCTGGGAACTCCATTAGCTTCGGAGCTTGTCCATCTATCTTCTTGAAACTCGTTGTTAGGAGGAAAAAGAATGCTGAGTTGCATCCATAGAACACCATACCTACTGTGAAGCATGGGGGTGGAAACATGCTTTGGGGCTGTTTTTCTGCAAAGGGACCAGGACAGCTGATCCGTGTAAAGATAAGAATGAATGGGGCCATGTATCGTGAGATTTTGAATGAAAATGTCCTTCCATCAGTGAGATGAAACGTGGCTGGGTCTTTCAGCATGACAATGATCCCAAACACATCGTCCAGGCAACAAAGGAATGTCTTTGTAAGAAGCATTTCAAGGTCCTGGAGTGGCCTAGCCAGTCTACAGAACTCAACCCCATAGAAAATCTTTGGAAGGAGTTGAAAGTTTGTGTGGCCCAGCGACAGCCCCAAAACAACACTGCTCTAGAGGAGATCTGCACCGAGGAATGGGCCGTGTGTGAACAATGGGTATATAATAGGGTTGCCACAATTTACATATTTTTTTGTCACAATTATTGTGAGAGAAAATTTTGCGAATTTACAATTTTTCACGATTATTGACATGATGAAAAATACATTAGTTTGTCTGTGCTATATCTGCACACTCAAAATAATGACTATTCTGTAATGAATATGATTTTGATTGTTACCGTCAGACTCTGAAGCTGCTCGGAAGATAAGGTGGCTGCTGGGTAAAGGTTGAGTGATGGAGCCCACCGCTTCTCCTTTAGGGCCCTGAAAACACAACACATGTACAATCAACGCAACACAGACGGAAAATCCTGGATCCATTGTCTGTGTGTGTGGATACGCACAGACAATCAAAAATAATGCAACAAACGATTATAAAGGTTCCTTACTGAGTGTAATTCATTTTTCTAATTCATTTTCTGAGTTTCTAGCCTTTCATAAATGAAGGGAGCTTTGGTCCCATTTTGTAGAGCAGAAAGCACACAATCCAGGGTCAGATTGAAATGAGAATGACAAACTGCAGCCGAAGCGGAAAACAAAAGCCAGATGTGGCATGGTCCTTCTGTGTCACATCACACTAATTAACATTATGAAAGCTAAAAAGCAGCTGCTCATTTAGAAAGATAGTGAGGTGGGCTAAGATATGTCTATTTGGGGATTTATTCCCAAAAAATTAAAATAAATATGAATTAAAGTTGAAGCAGCTTTGAACGGCCATCGCCACACCGCGCAATGTAGGGGGCGTCGCCGCGCCATTATATGCTCCCATAACCATAGAACAACGTTCGTAAAATTGTAATGAACATGATCAGTTGGTTTGGCTGCTCATGTCAAACTTTGGCCCAGTCTCTAGCGGGTGTGAAAGAGCCAATATAATATTTTGCATGTTTAGGTGACCTAGGCCCCGGAGTAGAACAACTGAGCCAAGTTTAGTTCAAATCAGACTTTGTATGTGTAAACTGGAGTGTGTCCATATATATGGATTCTCCATTGGATGACCATGTGAGTAATCAAGATTCCATAAACAATTATTGATGGTACATGTGTTAAGTAGATGTGGAGCGATTTTCAGCCAAATCGGTGAAACGGCCGAGGCTGGTTTGATGTTTGTGCGAGGACACAGAATGGGGAGTGTTTGTTGTCGCCACGGCAACAGGGTAAAAATAGGTCTTGGTTGTCAATGACTTTTTTAATCAAGAGGTCAAAACAGAATTATGTGCAAAATTTCAAACATTTTGGAAAAACTAAATGTAATTAACCCAATGTAAAACTTTGACATATTCTGTAGGCGGCGCTAATGAGCCAATTTCAACTATTTCACTTTCAAATGACCTAGACCCTGGAGTTGAATCATTTATTCAAGTTTTGTGCAAATCGGACTTTGTATGTGCAAACGGGAGCTATTTTTCTACGGTCAAAAAAAAAAAAAAAAAAAAAAGGTCACATTTTGCCGCTCCGCTGCTCAAACATTGTTTCACTGATAAAAATGTTCTGAAGTCATTTTGAGATGATGTGGAGCTCTCCAACCGACATGTATGAAAATTATTGCTTGTCATTTTTCTGCTTTGCAATGAAATTTATGGGCTTCCTATTTTTCCGGGGGTCGTGGCCATAATAACTTTATTTTCATGTCTTGAGTTGAGGAACATGTGTACCAAATTTGGTGGCTCTATAACAAACTTGACCTCCGACCCCTCCCATAGGCGTATTAAATTAGCTGTTGTAGGTGTTGTTGCATTCTGGCATTTTTTTAGTCCCATAAAAATAAACACCAAAATAATAAATTTTTCGCCAGGTCTGATTTTTGGGCAAAATTTGGCAAGTTTTCATGCATGTTTAGGGGGTCAAATTAAGGCTCAAAGCGCAGATGAAAAAATAAATAAATAAGATTTTTTTTCGACATCTCTCGTGCAAAAACAATAAAAAAGCGTTTGAGTTTACGCACGCGACCGTCACGTTGTGGTGAGTGACGGGCGAGGACACGACCGTCTCGCACCGCCACCTCTTGCATTCACCATTGTGAAAGCAATAGGCCCTTCCCCAGTCGGGGCTCGGGCCTGATTAACTCATTGACCGCCAGGCATTTTCAGATTTGAGAATTGGGTTCTGCCAGCGTTCTTAGGTAATTTGACCCAACTTTGAAGTGCCACAGAATATTATTTTTTTTATGTAAACACCAAGGGCACCAAATTAAAGATTACCCTGTTTCTATCTTTTTTTCTTGAGCAATCACATTCAGTTTCATCAAAAGGTTTGAAACTTTGCACATAGTTCTGTTTTGCCCTCTTGACTCAAAATGTCAAAGCCACCCAAGACCTATTTTTTACCCTGTTGCCGTGCCGACGACAAACACTCCCCATTCTGTACAAAGGTACACCTCGCACAAACATCAAACCAGCCTCGGCCATTTCACTGATTCGGCTGAAAATCGCTCTGCATCATCTCAACACCACCATCAATCAATACCATCAATACTTGTTTGTACAATTTTTATTAGTCACATGGTCATCCAATGGAGACTTATACAGTACAGACATACTCACAGATTATACTGTACATGTGCTCCTGTTTACACTGATTTGTACTAAACTTAACTTGGTTGTTCTACTCCTGGGCCTGGGTCACCTGAAGGTGTGAAATATTAGATTGGCTCTTTAGCGCCCCCTAAAGACTGAGCCAAAGCTTTACATGGGGAGCTAAACCGACTGGTCATATTCATTACAAATTCACGAACACTGTTCTATGGCTTTTGGAACAAATCGTGGTACGGCGGTGCCAACTCCGTTGTGCACTGCGGCATGGGGCGGCAAGTCAGGCAGTGCGGGGGGTCGCTCAGTGCGGGGAGTCGCTCAGTGCGGGGAGTCGCTCAGTGCGGGGAGTCGCTCAGTGCGGGGAGTTGCTCAGTGCGGGGGTCGCTCAGTGCGGGGGGTCGCTCAGTGCGGGGGGCGCTCAGTGCGGGGGGGCTCAGTGCGGGGGGCTCAGTGCGGGGCGCTCAGTGGGGGGGTCGCTCAGTGCGGGGGGTCGCTCAGTGCGGGGGGTCGCTCAGTGCGGGGGGTCGCTCAGTGCGGGGGGTCGCTCAGTGCGGGGGGTCGCTCAGTGCGGGGGGTCGCTCAGTGCGGGGGGTCGCTCAGTGCGGGGGGTCGCTCAGTGCGGGGGGTCGCTCAGTGCGGGGGGTCGCTCAGTGCGGGGGGTCGCTCAGTGCGGGGGGTCGCTCAGTGCGGGGGGGGGTCGCTCTCAGTGGGGGGGTCGCTCAGTGCGGGGGGTCGCTCAGTGCGGGGGGTCGCTCAGTGCGGGGGGTCGCTCAGTGCGGGGGGTCGCTCAGTGCGGGGGGTCGCTCAGTGCGGGGGGTCGCTCAGTGCGGGGGGGTCGCTCAGTGCGGGGGGTCGCTCAGTGCGGGGGGTCGCTCAGTGCGGGGGGTCGCTCAGTGCGGGGGGTCGCTCAGTGCGGGGGGGTCGCTCAGTGCGGGGGGTCGCTCAGTGCGGGGGTCGCTCAGTGCGGGGGGTCGCTCAGTGCGGGGGGTCGCTCAGTGCGGGGGGTCGCTCAGTGCGGGGGGTCGCTCAGTGCGGGGGGTCGCTCAGTGCGGGGGGTCGCTCAGTGCGGGGGGTCGCTCAGTGCGGGGGGTCGCTCTGTGCGGGGGGTCGCTCAGTGCGGGGGGTCGCTCAGTGCGGGGGGTCGCTCAGTGCGCTCGTGCGGGGGGTCGCTCTGTGGGGGGGGTCGCTCAGTGCGGGGGGTCGCTCAGTGCGGGGGGTCGCTCAGTGCGGGGGGTCGCTCAGTGCGGGGGGTCGCTCAGTGCGGGGGGTCGCTCAGTGCGGGGGTCGCTCAGTGCGGGGGGTCGCTCAGTGCGGGGGGTCGCTCAGTGCGGGGGGTCGCTCAGTGCGGGGGGTCGCTCAGTGCGGGGGGTCGCTCAGTGCGGGGGGTCGCTTTGTGCGGGGGGTCGCTCTGTGCGGGATGTTGCCCGTTGCAGGATGTCGCTCGGTGCGGGACGGCTTGGTTTGGGGCGCCGTGGTGCAGGACGGCGTGGGACGGCGTGGTGCGGGGCTGTGTGGCGCAGCGAGAGCCGTTCGACGCCGCTTGCGGCTTTAATTTTTAGTGTTTCTGCTTCCTTGTTTGATGTTACTGTGACTTGCGTTTGATTTTTATTCATACCACTCTCTTGATTGTTTTCTAGCATGTAAGACATACTGTATTATGAGACGGTACGCAGGAGCTTTAGCTATACCCAGCCAGAAAACTCATTGTGGGCGGACGCTGCGAAGAGTTAAGCTCGGAGTTGAGCGAGAAGAAAGAGGGTAAGGCTTTATTTGGTTTATTTTTCAGGTGCATTGATGGATGTGTTGTGTCCATACGCAGTGCATTGCATCGCACAGGACTGATTCATTGTTTTTTTTACAGCTGCTGGAATTGAGACAGTGTGTGCTAGCAGATGATGAGGTGGAACTCTGGAAGTCCGCCACCGTAGAGCTCATGTCTGACGAAGAAGATGGCGTTGTTGACGGTATCTCTGGAGGGATTGTACGGTCGCCGTCATTTCGTAGGCCGGAGCTCTCTGAACTCTGCGAAGCTGCAGTCCTGGTTAGAGGCGACGCGGAAGTACAGAGCAACGCACAATAGGCATCTGCACAACGGACCTGCCTCGGAAAAAACTCTGCCAGTTATCTACAACCCGAGGACGCCAACGGACAGTTCACGGAGTTGTAGTTTTTTGATTATCCTCTACCAACGTGTGTGCTCTCAATAAAGCTCTTTCTTTGCATGAACATGTTCCTGGCAAATGTTGACTTCCTCTATAAATTCATTCATGTCCATGATGGCCTGATAATAGTGTAGTAGCCTACATAGGATAAAATTAATATACAACATAAAATGAATAAATAAATATATAGATACATTATTATTATTACATTCATTATGAGGCAGGATATCCAATAGTGACAGATCTGCCAAGCAATCACGAGTGATTTTTCTTATTTGAAAGTAGTGGTATCGCCCAATACTGACAAAGGATATTCAAGTGGCCTGGCCAGCCGCTGCATTCATATGCTAATTAGGTCCATAAGCACGCGGCCAGCCAAGCGCGGTTTTGCTGCATTCACATTCCCATTAGCACATACAAGAAACGTCATTGTCCGTTTCCGACAATTTGTGGCACAGACAAACGGCAACAATTAAATTAATGAAATGAATTGTGCATTGTGCAGATGGGTCAAAAATGGGGAATTTTACAGAACCCCAGTAATTTTTTATTTTTTGATTTTGGTTAAACTTTGGTTGAGGCAACAGTGGCTCAGTTGGTGGAGCGTTGGCCTTTGGGTCTGAAGGTCACTTTGCCTGAATCCCCGGCTGAAAGGTCAAGGCTCCTGTGAACTCACCACCTTCAGGACGATCAGTGAAGGGCTGTTCCTCTCTGAATTGGGTGCAGCGCTGACTGCCAGCCCCACAACCCAGGAATTAATTAAGGGGAAGAAGATGGATGGAGGGTTGGATGGATGGATCTCACATGATCTCTTTGCAAAAAAAGTATCAATATTCTGACCGGATGCCCATGTATGTCGTTTTTTCAATACACTTGAAGTTTCAATAGTAATTTTATCCAATGGTTATCTTGTTCCATCTATTACGAGTATGTCTTTTGTCTCTAATGGGGCATTCAGACCGGATCATGCGTTGCGGCGACTTTCAGATTCAGATTCATTTTATTTGCCATGTGCAGTATAAAAACCACATTGGAATACATTTTAAAAAAAAAGGTACACTGTGCACACCAACAGAATAAAGAACACAATACAATGTAACATAAAATAGGGGTCGGCTGGTCGTATCACAGCCGACCCCTCTCACCCTGCACATGGACTATTCCAACCACTCCCCTCTCACCTGCACATGGACTATTCCAACCACTCCCCTCTCACCTGCACATGGACTATTCCAACCACTCCCCTCTCACCTGCACATGGACTATTCCAACCACTCCCCTCTCACCTGCACATGGACTATTCCAACCACTCCCCTCTCACCTGCACATGGACTATTCCAACCACTCCCCTCTCACCTGCACATGGACTATTCCAACCACTCCCCTCTCACCTGCACATGGACTATTCCAACCACTCCCCTCAGGCAGGAGGCTGCGGTCCATCAGGACTAGAACCTCCCGCCACAAGAACAGTTTCTTCCCCTCTGCTGTTGGACTCTTGAACACTTCTTAACCTGTCCCCCCAACCTTTATAAAGTCACTTTACTGCCCATCATACGTCACTTTACTTCACTGTACTGCTGTCACCTTACATTGTGTGCACCATGTGCACTTGGATATTGTAAATAGTAACTGTAACTCTATTTTAAATGTACATTTATCCCTTTAAGTGTCTTTTATTCTTTATTTTTATTATCTCTTTCTGACTGTTGCACTGAGCCAAAGACATTTCTAAGTCTGTGACTTCCTGTTACTTACGTGGCAATAAAAATGATTCTGATTCTGATTCTGAAAATACACATACATACACTGAACATAAATAAAAACAGCTGACACTGTGGCACCAATCGACAAAAAAATCGATACAAAGGGTAAAAGCAACAATAATAGCGGCACGGTGGCTGAGTGGATAGCACTCTCGCCTCTCAGCAAGAAGGTCCTGGGTTCAAATCCCGGTTGGACCAGGGCCTTTCTGAGTGGAGTTTGCATGTTCTCCCCGTGTCTGCGTAGGTTTCCTCCGGGTGCTCCGGTTTCCCCTACCACTAAAAATATGTACAATAGGTATGGCATGTGCCTCCTGTACTGGCACCCCCACTCCCAAAAAAATAATAACAATTGTAAACCGCTTTGAGACTCCGATGTGCAGTGAAAAGGCGGTATATAAATAAAAGCTTACTTACTTACTTACTTACTCTATTTAGACACCTAACAGCCTGTGGTAAGAAGCCGTTAGAATAGCGAGATGTCTTGCATCTCAGCGACCAATATCTTCTGCCCGAAGGAAGAAGCTGGAACATGGCTTCACCAGGGTGGCAAGAAGAGTCATTGTTTATTTTAAGAGCTCAGTTTAAAAGACTGGATTCATAAAGAACCTACAGAACAGGAAGCTCACAGCCTACAGTCCTCTTTGCAGAGCGGAGCACCTTGTATAGACCTCTCCTATCTTTGTCTGTGATGTTTCCAAACCACACAGTCACAAAACCAACAAGCAAACTTTCAATGGTGCAGCAATAAAAGTTTTGAAGAATCTTAAGAGTTAATGGAAAATTCTCTAAGTTTCCGTAAAAAGAAGAGCCGCTGACGAGCTTTCTTAACAACCTGATTAGTGTTTTTGTCCCATTTCAGGTCGTTAGACAGAGTTAAACCCAGAAACTTGCACTCCTCTACAATATGAACCTGGGAGTTGTCAATAACAACAGTCGAGTGAGAACTGTTGCGACTGAAATCAAAAACAAGATCACATTTTTTCGCAGTGTTCAGCTGGAGATTGTAACATTTTGTATCTCTGCTCTATAAGAGGATTCATCAGTGTCACTGATGAGACCGATGATGGTGGTGTCATCAGCATATTTGATGATCAAGTTTGAGTCAGAGGAGGACACACAATCGTGAGTGTACAAAGTAAAAAGCAAAGGACTCAAAATACATCCCTGAGGAGAACCAGTGCTCACAGAAACAACATCAGAAAAACAGTCATTGATTTTCACTCTCTGAGATCTGTCAGTTAAAAAGATAAAGATCAATTTACACATGGCAACACTTAAACCCAGAGACATGAGCTTTTCAATCAGTTTACCTGGGACAGGGCAGTTAAAAGCAGAGCTATAATGGATGAAAAGCATTCTGGCCACAGATTTACTAGTGTCCAAGTGACTGTAGACAGAGTTCAGAGCAAAGGAGATGCATCCTCCACACTCCTGTTCTGTCTGTAGCAAACTGGAGCGGGTCAACACTCACAGGGATCTGGCTCTTAATGAAGTCCAGCACAAGCCGCTCAAAAGTCTTCATAAGAACAGACGTGAGGGCCACAGGACGATAGTCATTGAGACATGTCACTGGAGACTTCTTAGGAACTGGAATGATGGTGGACCTTTTAAAGCTCACCGGTTCCGTACAGCTCCTGAGTGACAAGTTAAAGATGTCCGTTAAAACAGGGGCAAGTTGCTCGGAGCACAGTTTTAGGACACGAGGAGGAATGCAGTCCGGTCCTGCAGCTTTCCGAGCTGTGGTCCTGGACAAGACCCGCTGGACTTCCTCCTGAGTCACCATGAAGGCACCCTGACATTCGGGGAAGACAACAGGGGATCAACAGATTCAAAGCGGCAGTAAAAGTTATTGAGCTCATTTGGCAGAGCTTGGCCAGCAGCAATTTTCCCTGCACTTGGTTTCCAGGATGTGATGAGACTAATACCCTTCCACATGCTTCATGGGTCCTCTTCCTCAAAGAATCCCTATAACCTGTCCCCATAGGAACGCTTTACAGCTTTGACAGAGCGTTCCACAGCGTAGCAGGACAGCTTGTAAGCACCCTCATCACCGGATTGAAACGTCAGTGTCCACTCATGAATTTTCAATTAGACGTCAGTGTTCATCCAAGGATTTTGGCTGGAGTGCTCTTTAATAACTTTATATGGGACACAACTGTCAATGCAAAAGTGTATGTATCCTGTCACAGCCTCACAGAATTCATCAACATTCTCAGAGTTAAGAACAGACCAGTCGGTGGCATCAAAGCAGCCCTGCAGCTTCATGTTTGCCTCCTCAGACCAGCACTGCACAGTGTGGGAAGTAGATTTGCGCTGTTTGTTGTGTGTAAGAAGGAAGTAGGAGAACAGAGGAGTGGTCAGACTTCCCAAAAGCAGGTCTGAGAATGGACCTGTAAGCTGCCTTCAAGTTGCAAAGTCAATGGTGACATCCGTTCGAGCGTGAAACTGTATGTGCGTCGGGGCACACACGCATGGACGCTAGAGACGCCCAGACAGCGTGGTAGAGATGCGGCAGAGGCGCAGGAGCGGAAAATCGATGCAGGCATGAGATAAACATTGTTTACATTGCTTGAATAAAAACAACAAACAATTAAAGCCGCAAGCGGCGTCGAACGGCCCTCGCCGCACTGCGCAAAGGAGGTGGCGCTGACGCGCCATTTTTCTACAGCCCTGACGGGAGCTACACTATGTAATTAGAGTTTATATGATCAGTGATTGTGTGCATCTATTGAAAAGGTAAACCCCAGTCTCTCCATGTAACACTTGTATCACTCTGTAGGGGGCACTAATGCTGCAAATTCATGATTCACACCTTAGACACATAATAGGGAGTGTTTGTCGTCGCCACGGCAACAGAGTAAAAAATAAGTATATGTTGTCATTGACTTTTTGAATCCAGAGGACAAATCAGAATGATGTGCAAAATTTCAAACATTTTGGAAAAACTAAATGTGATAAAGCCCATGTAAAACTTTGGCGCTAATAAGCCAATTTCAATATTTCCACTTTCAAATGACCTAGACCCTGGAGCTGAACAATGGATTCAAATTAGGTGTAAATCGGACTTTGTTTGTGCAAATGGGAGCAGATTGATGGTACATGTGTTTAGACCATGTGGAGCGATTCTGAGACAAATCAGTGAAACGGCCGAGGAGGAGTCGCTTTCCAACAGACATGTGTGAAAAAGATTTTCCATTTCCCATTAATGAGCTCCCTGTTTGTCAGGGGGCGGAGCCATAACAACTTTTTTTCATGTCTTGAGTTGAGGAACCGAATTTCTTGACCTCGGACCCCTCCCATAGGCGCAATGTAAACTGACTTTTGTAGGGGGCGCTGTTCCGGCATTTTTTTAGACCCATAAAATTAAACACAAAAAATAATAATTTTTTGCCGGTTCTGAATTTTGGGCAAAATTTTACAACTTTTCATTAATGTTCAGGGAGTCAAATTAAGGTTCAAAGAGCAGAAGAAAAAAGAATGAAAGAAAGAAAGAAACCAAGGATTTTTTTTCCAAAGTCTTCGAGCAAAAACAATATACTGTAGGTTTCCATAGTAACCTATAATACAAATGATACATCGTTTTAAAGCGAACGAGCGAACGAACGCAACTATTGGGTTCTTGGTGATTGACGAGCGCGTCACCCACCCCTTCCATAGGACCCCATTCATTTCACTGTGTATTACAGCAGGAGGAAAGCCATTCAGTGCCTCTGGCACGGATTTATCAGTGTTTGGGCACAAGATTGCGACTTATGACACAGGCTTCGCCCAGGCATTACTCGTTGGGAAAGCAATAGGCCATTACCCCAGTCGGGCCTAATAAAATACAATAGTTTATTTCTATGTGTTTTGTAAAGCGTCTTTGAGTGTCCAAAAAATCGCTATATAAGTTTGATGCATTATTATTATTATAATATTGTGTTGCACCAGGACTCCTTGAAACAGGAACTGAAAATCCTAACTCTCAATCTTTTTTTGTTTCGTTTCTGTGCAGTGGGAATGGTGCTTTGATTTGCTCACCTTGACGGCCCAGATGCTCAGCTCCAGTGGGTGGAAAAGCTTGAAGCAGAAGCCGTCCTTCTTGGAAGGCCTCTCAATGAGCTCGCAGGCGTTGAGCAGCACGGTGCCCACCCACTGACCGTTCTTGTGGGTCTTATAGATGAGCAGCACCCCTGGCTTTAGCACGCACCACAGTTTGGTCCAGCTCTTAAGCGTGCCGCGGATCTGCAGGGTCACAACACACATTCTACTCAAAACTCAACCTTTAACTCATTATGCATGTTGATTGTAGTTTAATGGAACGAATACCATAAAAGTAAAATGTTACAAGAAAAGAACACCACGTCCAGAAGATATTGCTTTGAAGTCCTGTTAGTCAATACTTGACCCTTTGATTGTGGATGGTGCTTTTTATTTTGTTGAGATAATCTTAAAATGTGGGAGGCTGAAAAAACACATACAGAATATATGTACATACAGGTATATACATACATTTACACAGTAGAAGAATGTACAGAAAGGGTGGAGTTGGGAGTCACGTGGGTACGCCGAGCAGGATGGCACGTTTCTTGGACTGATTACTAACTGATATTGTTCGTGAACGTTTTACTACGTTTTTGGCTGCGAGAAATGACCACTTCGAAGAGTTCTAAGGACACGGGGACGGCGCGTTAGTCCACGAGAAACATGCTAACGCTTGCTACTAATGAAGAGCTCGAGGAGGAGAGCTTTCGGGGAAAAGTAACCCTTGAAGCAGTTTTGGCTGAAATCACTAAAATGAGCGCAAAACTGACGGAAGTGGGCTCGGATTTTCTGTCTATAAAAGAGGTTGTCAGTGGTTTGCAAGCACGAATGGGAGAAGCGGAGCTACAAATCTCTCAGATGGAAGACAAAATGGGGGGCCTTGAAACCGACAGCGACATTGCAGGGAAGAAGGTGAGCGCGCTGTGGGATCGTGTACAGGCGCTTTAAAATCACAGCAAAAGAAACAATGTACGTTTAGTTGGCCTCAAAGAAACCTACGGAACCGATGGTACGCTTGAGATGTGTGTTAAAAAAGTTCTGAGCGAAGGACTGGGCATTGTCCCCGAAGCGGAGTTTGAGATTAAGCGACTGCACCGAGTCTTAGCTCCGGTGCCAAACGAGGGGCAGCCTCCCCACGCTGTTCTGATCCGCTTTCTCAGGCAGTCCGCCCTGGAGAAGGTGCTGAGAGGCTGAAGCAAGGGGTTACATGGAAAGGGAATAGACTTTTGATATTCCCTGACGTAACGAAGGAGCGAAGAAGGCACTGCAGCAACGCAATGTGAGAAACACTCTCGCTTTCCCGGCGACGTTGAGATTCACATGGAGGGGGAAAAACCAACCCTTCACACAAGCGGAGGAGGCTGGAGGGCGACCATGCGTGACTGACGGAAACAACGCGAAAGGAGAGAGATCCAACATGGCGACCCCCTACTACTGAGAAGAAAACTAAACAACCAAATTACTTTCTTAAAAAAAAACCCTAACCACTTCTCGGATCTAACATCAATAAAACATAACGGACAGCCAAAGTAAAAGGAATACAGGTACGGTGGAAAGCGTAACGGACCTCGAGGACTTTATCGGTTACTATTATCATCTTCCATACAACATGGAACCGGACCCAGCAAACCCAAACAAAAGGAAAAAGGCAGACTCGTCAACCGACACAGATGATTTGGAAAAAAACAAAATTGAGGTCAGTGTACTTGCAAGCATTATTAACAAAAAACTGGACTTACTCGTAACACTGCACGATCTACGCAATAGCCTGGAATTTGCACATAACCAAATAATTTCTCTCAACCAATCAAACCAGGAACTGAAATCATCAGTAAAAGCAATAACCGAACAAATGCACACTATCACCAAAGAAAACAAAGTAATGAAAGAAACTGTTTTGGACTTGCAATCTCAAACTATGTGGGACAAACTTATCTTCTCTGGAATCCCCGAAAACACAAGCGACAACCCTGAAACACTCATCAAATAGTTTAAGACAACGAAACTAAAAATACCACCTGACACCATCAAAAACATTAGCTTCCACAGAGCACACCGCCTCGGCAGACAATTGGATAAAGGACCACGACCCATCATTGCCAAATTCGAACACTTTAAACAGAAATAACTAGTTAAAAGTAAAGGAAAAGAACTCAAAGGAACAAACTACGGACTAGACGAGCAATACCCCCGTGAAATAAATGAACGAAAAATATTATACCCTATCTTAAAAGAAAGCAGAAAAAATGACCAACGTGCAACACTGGTCGTGGACAAACTATATATAAATGGGCAATTGTTCCGAAATACAACAACCACGCCTTGGCTCTTCTAAAAGTGATTACAACGAACTGACCGGACTAAAAACAAAACAACTTTAGCATAGCTAAACGAACGTTATAGCGCCTCCTATGAGAACACTCTTGCTCTCAATAAATGTTATCTCCACTGTTGCCCTTCCTCTTCTTTCTGTTCTGTGTACTCACTCTCTCTTTCTTTCGCCTCCTCATTCCACCTCTTGTCTTATGTTTTACACACGTACACGCACACATGCAAGCAAGCTAGGACAAAAGATATACCCAAAACACCACCATGCAAACACTTAAATTAGTAACATGGAATGTACGGGGCATCCGGACACAGTCCAAAAGAATTAAAATCATTAATCAACTGGTAAAATTTAAGGCTGACCTATGTTTCATACAACACACTTAACTGACTCGGAACTAGAACACTTCAAATGCAAACCATTCAACCAAATATTTTCATCTACATACAATAATAAACAAAGAGGTGTTTCGATTTTAATACACAAAAATATACCATTTGTCCATAAAACATCCATCATGGACTCAGACGGACGGTTTATCATTATCACTGCATCTATAACCACACAACATATACATTTATGGCCCTAACGCTGATGATTCAACTTTTTTCCACAACTTCTTCTTGTTACTAAGTTTAGTTTAGTTTAGTTTATTTATTTAAGATGACAAGGACAGTGCACAATAAACATGAACCTGAAAAGGAGAGAGGCATTGTACCAGGTTATAGCTCAAGAGTTAATTTCCACCTGTAGTCCCTGGGCAGGCTGATGTTATATCACATTAAAAATAACACACGTTCATGGATGTAGTTTACATTTGTCTTTATGTGCACAATTTGTTTAAAACTCACATTCATATCACTCATTTATACTGGTCAAACACACACACTCCCCCCCCCCTCTCTCTCTCTCACACTCACACACGCTACACATGAGAGCAAGTTTGGTTTGATGATAACCATTTCTTTAGAAGGCGTGAGAACATGTAAGCATTGGTGCTTGCTATCAGCTCTGTGGGCAGCATGTTCCACTGTGGTCAGAGGAAGAGGCAGAGTTTCTATCAGCTCTGTGGGCAGCATGTTCCACTGTGGTCAGAGGAAGAGGCAGAGTTTCCAAAAGCTGTCCTGCGTTTGAGGATCCTACACTCGCCGCTCGGTGGCTCTCGTGGCTCGTGTTATGTCTGAGCCTAAAGAGATGAACTCTTTCAGTGGAGGAGCAGCGGTGTCAGGATCTTATACAGGAAGCAAAGATTTGTGTGTTTAATGAAGTTGTCAGAGCTTAAGATTTTATGTTTTGTAAGGATATGACAGTGATGGAAACGTCTGCTTTTTTTATCGTGGATTTTTTATTTATTTTTTTAACTCTTTATTTATGATTTTTCAAACGTTTACAGACATAAAAGTCAAACATCCAATCAGTGGGGTACTACAAAATAAAAATGTACATCTCCAAATGAGCTTTGTAATGAGTCCACTTGGACCAACATTTCTGAAGTTTGTTAGCTTTCAGTCTCAGGTGAAAAGTCATTTTTTCCATGACATAAATCTCTTCCACTGTGTCTCTCCATTGTTTCAATGTCAGAGGGTCACTCTTCAGCCAGTTTCTTGTTATTACTTTCTTGCTAGACATCAGCAATATTTTAAACAGATACAAATCCTTATTTTGAACATGACTCTCTGACAGAAGGCCCAGGTACACGGTGCGTGGCTCCATAGAAATGTTATATCCAAATACCTTTTCCATTTCCGTCACAATATTTTGCCAAAAAGGTGTAATATTCGTACACTTCCAAAACACATGAGAGTGATCGGCACTCCAGCTGCCACAATGTCTCCAGCACTGCTGAGGGGTTTTCAATTGTTTACTTTTAATATGTGGAGTGAGAAAAAATCTGATCACGTTTTTCCATCCAAATTCTCTCCATTGTCTGGAACTGGTTGAAGTGTGCTGTAAAAGACATATGGAGCCAATCCTCCTCTGACAATTCAATTTGTAATTCTTTTTCCCATTTCTGTTTGATATATAAGGAGTTATTCTGGGGGACATTTTGCAAGCATTTATATAGTCTGGATACAATTTTAGAGGGTAAGCATCGATATGCTCCAATAATGATTTCCAATAGGTCACTCTTTTCCTGTGAAGTCTGATTTAGAATTTCTGTATTAAAAAAATGTCTTATTTGGAAGTATCTAAACAAATCGGATTTATCAAGGTCAAATTCCCGCTGTAATTTTCCAAAAGGCGGCACGGTGGCTGAGTGGATAGCACTCTCGCCTCTCAGCAAGAAGGTCCTGGGTTCGAATCCCGGCCGGACCAGGGCCTTTCTGAGTGGAGTTTGCATGTTCTCCCCGTGTCTGCGTAGGTTTCCTCCGGGTGCTCCGGTTTCCCCTACCACTAAAAATATGTACAATAGGTCTGGCATGCGCCTCCTGTTCGGCGACCCCGCTCCCATCTCTGTGTGGAGTGAGAGACAAGTGCCCAAAAAAAAATAACAATTGTAAACCGCTTTGAGACTCTGGTCTGTGAAAGGCGGTATATAAATAAAGCTTACTTACTTACTTACTTAAAAGATTTAAATACTTTTCCATCCGTTAGTGTACACATAGCTGTCATCCCCCTCTTTGTCCATTTTGTAAATGTGCTATCTAATTGGCCACTTTTAAATTTTGGATTAAAGGCTGGCCACCCCAACAATTTGCATTCACCTTCAATTTTGCGTTCACTCACTACTTCCCACCAAACTTTTAAAGTTGTTTCAATGATTGGGTTATCTAGATCACCCGATTTACAAGTTTTATCACCCAATCTAATTTGTGGTGGACATGATGAGTAATTTAGCTCAATACGTTTCCATTTAGCATCATATTCTGAT